GTATGTATAAAGGGTTACGTCCTTAGCTGGCTAATAAGTAACAAGCTAAGCTACCAAGCACACAAACACCTGTGAACGGGACATGTATAATATTATCATTTTAGACTTCTTGGAAGTTCTGTTTGTAACAATATTCCCTAAAAGGCACAATCACCACGAACACGGCTAAAGCTAAAGGGTCAAGTACAGTAACTACAACTAACTAACGTTGTAGCCTCTATGGTTGTGGCCTAGCAGAGTGGACAAGTTCCTGTTAGCTGACAGTGAGGCATGTACATGTCCATCAAAGTGACCATGCCCTAATTTATGCAAAAGCTTTAAGGCTTAATATTAATTAAACAAATGAGTGGAGAAAAAATTCACCCCCCCAATCCATATTCATGAAGGGGGGATCTAACTATACAGAGAATATGGTTTTTTGAACCACGATGTAAACATGTTTAATTCTGCTCTAAAATTGGGCATTTTAACATTGGGGTCTGTGGAAATTGCTCCCTTCTGCAGACTGCTCCTACTGGCCACTAGATGAACTGCAGTTTGAGGCACTTCCACATTGGCGTCCCGGCTCTGCCCCAGAGTTTGCCGCTTGGTTGGCACTGAGAATAACATTTAACTCCTTCAGCTGCCTTTTAGCTCTTAGAAGATTGCGTATAACTTACATTTGTTCATCTGTAGATATTAACTTAATTTAAATAATGTCTGCTTGGGAAAAATACATTGTACATTTTGAACATAATCTATATGAGAAGAGGATGCAATATATATACCCAGGTATTACATTTGCAGTACAGAAGGTGATATGAATGAGGGCCTCATTTTTCACATGGATTTAAGATATGCATTGACTCGCGCGTCTCTCTCAGTAACTCTCCAAATGCTGCCCTCTGCTGGTTGATCATCACCCAGGCTCTTTATGTCTAATGACACTGTGCTTCTCGTTCTGCCCCTGCCAGGTTTCCCTGCTGGAATACAGGAAGCGTCAGCGTGAAGCTCGTCGCAGCGGCTCCAAGACCGAGTGCAGCTCTCCTGTTTCCACCATGCTACCTTTGACCGTGGAAGCCTTCCCTGTCGCGCAAGAGATCGCCAGTGAACCTCCTCCCCCCCCACCTGCTCCCACTCCTCCCTGCAACACCCCCCCTGTAAAGGAACCCCAGACAAGTGAGGAGGCAGAGGAAGAGGCACTGGCACCGGGAGAGAAAGGAGAGCAGGAAGGAGGAGAAGGACAGTGGTATGTAAACTACTTGTCAGCTTATGAATTTAGGGTAGTATCTCTGTTATTTATTGTACCCTTTAGACCAGGGGTGCCCAATACGTCGATCGGTAGTATTGGGCAAGGTAGTGTGGGTAGATCGCATGGCATTGAAAAAAAAAAGTTACCCTATCATCCATCCTTACTATGACATTTGCCACTTGATTGACGTACAGGTAAGCCAGTCTGAGATCTCATCTTTTCTAAAACGCAGTTCACCACGCCTGCACGGTCAACCGCGCCAGCAGCAAATCACCGGCGAGCTGATTACCTAGTTAGCCTTCCAATTTATACAATTCTACTAAAGAAAGGGTATAAAATGGACGTACTGAGTTGTATTGTGCCATACGGGTTCATGCAGTTATGCAAGGTAACATCAGGTATACTCAGTATATATAAATAAATATATGCTTAGCATTTTTAATGTAGGTAGATCATTTTGACTTGGTCATTTTAAAAGTAGCTCCCAAGCTGAAAAAGTGTGGGTACCCCTGCTTTAGACACTACAAGTAGTTAGATTTTGATCGTCCCAATATCTGTTTGTTTCTTAAGGACGTCGTCCACTTCCGTAGAGCAGGCTAGAGAGCGCAGCTACCACCGGGCTCTGCTGCTCAGCAAAGACAAAGACACAGGTGAGGAAACTGACCACATGTTCTGAAGTTTGACATTTTGCATCGTAGCAAACATTATTTCTGTTAAGAATAGGATGAGAATAGATACCACTCTCAAATCTGTCTTTTGAATTGGTGGTTCTCAACCTGGGGTTAGCTGGAAAAAAGAATACCATATTCTAACCCAGGAATCAAATGGATAGCACAGCTTGTACCGGCTAGGTGGAAATAGTTAATATTTATAAAGCTGTAGCCAGGTTACAGCTAAGCTTAGCATAAAGACTGGAACCAGAGGAAAGTGGTTGCCAAATACATTTATTTTATAACATGTGGAATTATTAAGAGGTTTCTTTTTTTGAATCAACATTTTACAGGTTTTAATAATAATATTTCCACTCTTTGTAGATGGGGAAACGGAAGGTGGAGATACACCTGCACTTACAGACTGCCTATCTCCGACCCTTCAAAAGACCCCCACCCACACAGTAAGTCAACGCTACCCGCATGGAGATCTGACTCCTCTCAGATGGGTATTTACCCCCGTATGACCTCCTCTCTCTCTGCCTCCCCCCTCACAGCCCTGCTCCCCCGGTCCTCTCGCCCAGCCTCCCAGCCGCACAGTGAAGGAGGAAGACGCCGACAGTCAGCCCCGGACCCCCAATCCGACCAGCCAGACCCCCAGCAAGCCCGCGGCCCCCAAGCCAGCTCCTGTAACCCCCACCAAGCTGCATCCGACCCCGCTACCCTCCTCCCCCGTCCACTACCCTGGACCCTCTCTACTTCACTCGCCTCAGCCTCAGGGCTCTCCGTACCGCAGCCAGAGGGCGCTGTTCCCCGCCCAGCCTCAGAGCCAGCCCCCCCCTCAGGCTCAGACTGGCCTCACTCCTTTCCCCCAGTATAACGCGGAGAGTGCCCCCCCACCGCCTCCCCCTCCTCCACCAGCACCCTCCGCCTCCACGGCATATTTCCCCACTCAGAGCCCCTCAGCGGCCGGACCTTTCTCCGTGTTTAAACCTGCCGTCACAGCCCCTTACCCCCCTGGCTCGCAGCCCCTGATGCAGACTATCCCCCTCAGCGTGCACTACCAGAGCGCAGCCGCTG